AGCGGCATGCTTCTAGGAGAAAAAAGAACCGCCAAAATTCGAATGTGAAGAGGCGGCGGGGTTGGCTGTACGAGACCAATGAGCGAAGGACGTGTGTCCCTATTGACGGCGGCGTCAGTACTGAAGAGACAGGATGGCGAGTTGAGGCATCGACCGAGCAAGTCAAGAAACCGAGCGTGGGGATTAGCTTGGTCAACGTCTTGCGAATTTAAGTAGGGCGGAGAATCGACCCCGGTCGGATCATGTAATCCCAATCACGCTTGCACGGACGGAATTAAGGGACAATTGAGAGGGAGATTTATAATGTGGCTTTGGGCTGTGGTAGAAGCCGGGCAGAGAGAGGTCCGAGCATATTTGGGCCAAGCTAACGTGGGCCTGTCCAGAGTTAGTTTGCTCGGTCGAGACCCAGGTCCCATGTTTGGGCCGAGCTAACTTGGCCGAGGTGATTGTTTGCCGACCCTGGTTTCACGGTTCGCACATTTAGCTCGGCGAGAGAGGCCTTCTGAAAACCGGCCTAACCTTCCTGGAGTTCAGTCGTACCGGAATGCTACTAAGCTCGGTTGTGGTGGAGCTCGGCGAGTGGTACTGTCGGACTCGTTACGTAGCCCGGTCATATGAGTCTGAGGTGACGCCGCCGGGCTGCCCCCGTTCCTGGTAATGTTGTCTGGCGGTTTGAGTAGGTGGTGTTTAGTTGGATTTGCGCTGATGGATGGTAGAGCAGCTCTACGTGTCAATAAGCGAATGGATGCAGAGGTGAGCGCAGAAAGTATATAAGCATGACTGCGCCCCCCATGCTGGGGATGGAACATCATTTGGTGAGAGAAACCTAAACATTCAACTATCTTCCTCTCTCTGTATCTCTGAGTGTGTGCTAACTTGACCGTCGGAGGAGTTTTTCGATAACACACCGCTATTGCGTTCACAAGTTGATCGGATAGAAACGAAACTTGGACGAAAAAAGTACGGACATTGTCAAATATTCACTCTCCGTACAGATGACAAGAACATAATAATATTAAAATAGTTTTATAGTATAATTTAATTAGAATGGTGACGGACCATGCTATATAAGCTGCCTAGAATTGACGGACAAAAAACAATTTTATAATCCTTCATATATCTCTTTAAACACGACAGCTCCAGACTCTAACAAATTGGCATCAAGTTGTTACGCCATCAATAAAATAAAAACGCACCTTTTACTTTATCACTTTTTTTCTTTTCATAATTTTTTTATATTATTTTTTTAAATCTATTAAAATCCAATTTATAGTACAAACTTTGGATATTCCCATTTTACATAAATAAGACATGTAAGAAATCAAAATCTTGTGTTCTACTCTGTCTCATATTTTTATTTCAAACTCTCTCGCTACCTATATGAATGTCAGAGAAATAAAACTTATGATCCGATGATAGAGAGAGAGTTTGAAAGAGAAAGACAGAGAATTCACAACCAACAACAGTGTGGGTATTTATGTCTCTCTATAGCCTACATATATATATATATATATATATAGAGGGAGGTGTGTAGGTTAAGGTGGTTTGGGGTAGGTATGTGAAAGGTAAAGATGGGTGAGAATAGGGGATTTTTTGTTGGTCTTTTTTTCTTGTTGTTGTTGTTATGGGTTTTGCATTGGATGAAACAGTGATGTGTAATGGAACTTGGAAGAACCACAAGTGCTTTCATTAGGATGATTCAGAAAAGTGTTGATATGCCTTATGACAGCGATGTCTTCCGTGTGCCTTCTGGCTATAATGCTCCTCAATAGGTGAGCTTTCTTTCATTTTCTCTCTTTTTGCTTGGCCATGACAATTTGCTATATATCCCACCCCGCCTCACACGTGTTTTTTTGCCTGATAAGAAATTGAAAAGGGGATGAGATTTGCTTTTCTTGTTTTGTTTTCAGCTTTTACCTTTGTATCTCTTACTTGTAGGTCATGTTTGATTCACAAAACTAATAGTGAAGTATTAATAATCCTATTAAATTAGTGTGGTATTCACTATCCAATTGGATTAATATTCATTGGATTAATAATCCCACCCCTACTCCATTACTAATAATCCTACAAATTTGTTGGATTAATTATCCTAAACCAAAATATTAAAACAAACATAGGATAATTGGGCCCACGGATAAATAATCCCAATCCCATGCTCTAATCCACCTAATCAAACATACCCGTGGGTCATGTTTGTTTGGGTGGACATGAGCTTGGGATTGGATTAATAGTCCAATAAAATTATTAATCCGATATTTGGTTAAACAATTGAACTACGGACTAATTATTTTAAACTTGATTATTAGTTAAGTTAGGATACATAATCCAACGAATTCGTAGTCCTAGGACTATTAGTCATAGGAATGCTAATCTAATCCGCCTAAACAAACATGGTGTATTATTTCTCATCTCTTTCTCGTTAGTATAAAATTATGCTGACACCTTAGTACTATATGTAGTTTTTTTTTTTTTCTTTGAAATGTAAAAATCTTCTAGCAACTATTTAACCAATTCATAATAATGAGACTTTTCATCTTTGCATTCGTGGCAACTTCGATGGCGTTTAGCAATTGTTGGGATAGATAGTTAACCATGAAAAGTTCAAAAATCCTCGTAATTTTCATATGATTTTATTTTTGTGTAAAAACAAATTTAAAAATTTTAAAAATATTTTTTGATGTTTCTTGAAACAATGGGTTATTTTCAAAAAATTAAAATAATATAAAGTTGAAAACCATACCAAAGGAGAAGTTTTTAAGAGAAGAAAGAAATTGATATGTAGGTTATGTTATGTGTTTGAAGGTTCATATAACACAAGGAGATCATGTGGGGAAGGCAGTGATTGTCTCTTGGGTCACTGAAGATGAACCTGGCTCCAATGAAGTGCTCTCTATTGGAGTAGTGAAAACATTTATCACAAGAACAAGGCCAAGGGCACTGTAGGTAGATACAAATTCTACAACTATACTTCTGGTTACATCCATCACTGCACCCTCAAGAACTTTAGTGTGAGTTTCAACCATTTTATTTACTGTTTGTGATCTGTTTCAATGTGCAATTGAGCATAGTTTTTATAAGGCTTTGATGCAAAAGTCAAATTTTATCATGTTTTTTATGTGTAGTACAACTCAAAATACTACTATGAGGTTGGGATTGGACACACAACAAGGACTTTCTGGTTTATGACTCCTCCTGAAGTTGGCCTAGATGTCCCATATACTTTTGGTCTCATAGGTATAAACTATTATCCATCAGATTGGTTTTATGGTGATTTCTAAAATTTTGTGTTGGTTGGTCTAATTGTTTATTGGCAATGGCATTGGACCATTGGTGATTTACCTCATTGTAACACTCTAGGAGCTTATTTGAATGGAGTTTTACTTGTTTGACGAAATGTCTCGCTGAAATATTTGTTTCATAGGTTTGGGATGGGGAGGCGATGAGGGAGAGTATCACTGTCCAAGTTGGGGTTTGCGGTTGAGGTTGGGGAGAAGTGTGTCAGGCTGGGGGTGGGGGTAGGGAGAACTGAAAATTGAATTTCCTCACACACTATGAAAACAATACACGTCATCTCATTGATCTTAAACTATAGGCCTCATATCTAAAAAGTGTATTGATCACACCTAAACTTGCGGGCTCCATAGTTTTGAACTAATCAAAATGTGTATTTTGTTCACACACCTTGTTGGTGTGTGACAAAATTGGGCTCGGGAGAAGTGCATTAGGGTAGGGGTGGGAACACCATCCCCCTAGCCAAAATCATGGTTTGCCATGGTTTGTGTAATTATCTTCTCTTGGTCCCACTTGGCAAGATACAGCTCAACCAAAAAGGGTGAGTGCGAGTGCCTCTGCTCGAGCCTTGTTTTATTAATTTAGTAAAGTCAAGCTTTGGTTCAGATTGAAGAACAGCAGAATGATTTTATTACAGTTTTCAACCCTAATTCTTAAAGGGAAGGAAACATGCAATAGCTCAATAGCAACATGAGAGATGAGCATTTTGTGCGGGGTATCTAGGGCAGACTTTCGATTCAAACCAGACACTCACCCATTATGAGCTAAGCCCATCGAAGGGGAGTGCGGTGTTGTTTGTGGGTGACCTTTCTTACGCAGATAACTATCCATTTCACAACAATGTAAGATGGGATACATGGGGAAGGTTCACCGAGAGAAGTGTAGCTTATCAACCTTGGATTTGGACTGCAGGGTATCATGAGCTTGATTTTGTTCCTGAACTTGTAAGCTTCATATAACCCATGTTTTGTTGTTTCAAGAAATGTGTTTTATATTGTTTCTCATATGTATATGGTCAAATTTGAGTTCATATGACTTTCATTGTTGAGGTGAATTCTAGCTTTTTCTTGATATTTTCTTGGCATAGTTCCTGTGATTTGTTGGGCAAACTTCTAAAAAAAATGTCTATTCGTGTAAATTTTTTGTTCATTTATGTGCTCTATTTCGGTGTTTCTAGGCTTATTTGTCTTCCTTGGCTATCTCAAATTGCCTCCACAAACCAAAAAGATCAACAATTATTCAAATTTTGCAAATCTCAACTCCTAACATGAAGGATTCTCAGCTCCTAACAAGGAATTGCCTAGGTCATTTTGCTACACGTTCTAAACTGCATCCTGTTGGTTCAAATGTAAACTTGTTGAAATACCACAACAAAATCATTGCAAAGAAAAGAATGACAGATGATCCTGATTTTTTGCGTAGCTGCTGATCATGAAATCAATATTCCACCTTTGCATATCAAGAGAGCATAAATTGCCAGCTTCGAAACTAATCAAGTTTTGACCTCTATGAGATCAATAATGAAGCTTATAATGATCCACACAACAAACAAAATGCTAGTACTTTACTACCCTTCTCAGTTTCATTATGACTTTACCATGCTTTTAAAGCTTTATTGATATATGAATATTATCTGTTTGTACAAAATGTGAATGGGAGACATGAAATTATAATAACAGGGTAGTGGTGAAATCTGTGCATGGTGAAACCGAACCATTTAAGCCTTATTCTCACAGATATCATGTCCCTTATAAGGCCTCCAATAGTACCTCTCCTTTTTGGTACTCAATCAAGAGAGCTTCAGCATGCATCATTTGTCTTGTCTTCCTATTCAGCATATGGTAAGCCACATCACACTTCACATGCTGCTTTTATCTCATTTTCAAGTGATTTTCAAAGTTCTTGACAATTTGTTGCGGCTGTTTGTTTTTAGTTGGTTAAATTTAAATAACATGTTTGTTGTAGTTTAAGGAAAAATAATTTTTATTTCAGCTTATTTGAGGCCAACTAAGGGTTGGTTTGGGATGTTCTAAAAAAGTGCACTTTTTGACTTATTGGCTTATATGGGTTGAGTTTGGATTGAGTTTGATGTGATGTGTTAGAGAGGTGATGTGATTTAAGGCGCTGTTTGGGAAGCTGCCAACGGGGCTATTATAGCCTCATTTGGTAAATAAGCTAAAAAGTGGCACTGTTTACAAGTTTTTTTTTAAAAAAAAAAAAAAAAAATAGGTACTGCGCTGGACAGTGTAGGCAGCCTACACTGTCACAGCCGAAAAGTGACACATCAATGGAAAAATTACCATTTTGCCCTTTTATATCAATTTTAAAAAATAAAAAGTTAGGGACAAATCTGTCATTTTAAATTTAAACATCATTTCAACACATTTTTCAATACAATAACCCAACTAAAAAATCATCTCATCTTCCCAAACACAAAAACTAAAATAGCTACTAAAATAGCCAAAAAGCCAAATAGCCTACTAAAATAGCCACTTCCCAAACAAGACCTAAATAAGATGAAGTGACTTAAATAGGATAGTGACTTTTTGATTTTTTGTATTATTTAGGACATGCCAAATCAATTCATTTAAAAAGCTAGCTAGGTGGTGGTGCTTAGTTTTCCGCATATGTGGGAATTTTTTTTTTAATTGAAATTATACTTAAATATCTCACATTTTTCTTAAATACTATCAGCATGCCCCTATATAAACAACCCACCCTACCTATTTCTCTTCCACTCTTGAACCTTTATAGCTAGTAAGGACAAAAAGAACAATTACTCATAAAAAAAAAAAATTACTTTACCAATTATTCGAACGAACAGTACTCTGCAACTTAAATGTACAATCCAACCAATGCGTCAAACATGTTAAAAAACTTTTACTCAAGGCTATAATCAATTGCACAGAACAGCTCATTATGTGATGTTCTACCAATATAAATTTTGGTATAGTCATTTTATAGTAACATCTACATATCCATCCTTTTCAGGGAAGTATACTCCTCAATACCAATGTCTTGCAGAGGAGCTACCAAAAGTGAATAGAAGTGAGACGCCATGGTTGATTGTTCTTATGCATTCTCCATGGTATAACAGCAACAAGTATCATTATATGGTTGGGGAAACCATGAGACACTACAAGAATTTGTACTTTTAGCGACCATTTTTTGCGACCAATATAAAAGTTGGTAGCTAAAGTTACCTTTTGGCGACCAAATATTAATTGGTCGTGAATGATCATTATTTTTGGCGACCAAATATGAGTTGGTCGTAGAAGGTCATATTTTGGCGACCAAAAAATGACTTGGTCGCAGAAAGTGGTATGCTTTTGGCGACCAACTACAAATTTGGTCGCGGAAGGTCACATTTTGGCGACCAAAAAATAAATTGGTCGTGGAAGATAAAAAATAAGTTGGTTGTGGAATTAGCGACCAAAATTTTAGTCGCCAAAAACTTATTTTCCCCGACCAAGAATATTTTAGTTGCCATATATTGAGTTTTAGCTACTAAAACAATTTAGTCGCCGAATAGAAAATAAAAAATTATTTTTTTTCTTTGGCGACCAAAAAATTGGTCGCCAAAAACTTATTTTCAGCAACAAAAAAAAAAAATAGTTGCCAAATTAGTACTTTTAGCAACTAATATTTTAGTCGTCGTTGATTGAGATTTGGCGACTAAAAAAGTTTGTCAGCGAAGGTACCTTTTCTGTGACTAACCTGCTCTTTTGGTTGCCAAAAATTTGGGAGGGAAATTTGAAATGTGGAGGTGGGAATTAAAAGCCCTGACTCCCAAGATCAAAAAATAAAAAAAAAAATCAAAAGCCCTGATTCCCAAGATCAATCTATAGCCAATGTTTCTAATCATAAAGGAAGAACAAAGAACACCATTAGTGGCATGGGTTAGTGAGAGAAGCTCTTCCATTCTCTGGAATTCCTAAAATTCTAGGGTTTCAATAGCTCATTGATGTCGATAGAGTCTCCACAGTTTACCAAAGGGGTTTCGTCTAAGGCTAAGGATGTAGTTAGGGATTTGAAATCACCAGTGTTATTTGGTTTGGGGCAAACTAAATCGGGTTTGAGCTTAGAGCAAGGGGAATCGAAAATTTCCTCTGAGGAAGTTCCTTCGATTAGTGTTAACAGATTGACGATGGGGGGTGAAGGGAGTCTTAGCCCTAGTTCGAGGTCGTTCGCTGCTTCTATGGAGGGTCTTCGATCAGAAATTGTTACGATAGATGCTCTTGGTCCTGATGAGCGAGGTTCAACTAGAGGTAGGGTTTCAAATCAGGGTTCGGATGTGATGATTTCTCAGTCTCAGGCTATTGAGGACCTGCAGGCTAGGCTCAACACCATTTGTTTCAAATATGTTGCGGGTTTTAAAGGAGGATCTGGTACCCATTGAACTTGCTCAAGAAGAAATATCCACTCCTGCACTTCAGCGTTCAACCTGCTTCAGACTAAGTGGTCGGACATTGTTGAAATGGAAGGGGGAGAGGAGGTTGTTATTTATCGATTCAAGGACTTACCTGATAACCTGGTTGTGGCTAGGGCTAGAAATTTGGTGTCAAAGCTTGAGTGATGTGAGTCCACTCCATTATATTGTGTGAGAGGGTGAGTTTGTGGGTTGAGTGACTGCAGCACTTCTACTGTTTTCTCTCACAGTTTGCTCTTGCAGGTTCCTAGCTGGCCCAGTTCTTTAGGGATTGTGTATTTCAGATGGTGCGCATTCCTAACCTGAAATTTATTTAAGAAAAATGAGTCAGACCCCCTTTGTGGAGGACCCCCACAACCCCCTTACTGATCTACACCATTCATGATGTGTAGGGCCCACTCATGTATGTGTGGGGTCCACATCATGAATGGTGTGGATCACAAAGGGGGTTGTCGGGGTCCTCTACAAAGGGGGTCTCTATCATTGCTGTTTATTTAAATCGCAGCTTAACTCTAGTTTCTCCAAAATATACACTAAATAGATCTTATTTTATGGGTTTTTTTTGTTGTGGTTAGCTGAACTGTGCATGAACATGTAAAATACCACAAAATGCTTTTACACCAAACATTTTCCCATTGAACATCAGTGGGCACAGTGATTGGAATTCATGCTAATTTTACTCTGTTTTCAGATTTCAAGTTAAAATCGCTTTTAATTATTATTATTATTATTTTAAAATCAAACCTTTAGCTAGGATTCTAGATCTCACAAAATTGCATCATGTTACCTAGGCTTGCACTGTTCAACATCAGAAAATTTAGGAACCCATGTTAATGCAATTGCATTTTGACCTATGAAACACTCATGACATTCATTGATTTGAGGCAGCATGCTAGGTCAATTTTAAAACACATCCTAACACTCCACTTATGCAATATACTCAGGAAAAATATAGTTGTGTGAGTACAGAGCAATGATTGCACTGATGATGTCAATTTTCAATCAGTAACACTCCACTTATGTTGTGCTTGAGTCATGAATTTGGATAGGGATTTGAGGAGGGAAAAGAAAAGTAGTGGACAATGTGAAACAAAATTAGCTTATAATTAATTAATATTTTCCTTCCCATTTCCTTTGCCTCCCCAAATCCAAGATCTAAACACGGTCTTAATCTGTCCTAGGAACCAATTAACCACGGCTATGCTCTGTAGACTAAATCCCCAAGTTTTGTCTTTGGAAATTGCCGGGCATAATAAACCTCTGACAATCAAAATAAAAAAAATAAAAAGTAGTTAAAAGAAAACAAGAAAGAAAAGAACAAAAAGTTCTTGCTCCATCACTAGTTCATTAGGAGTATTTGCTCAGTTATGGCCTTTTAAGATAAGTAAATTACGTTGTTGTTTTTGTCATCAGTGTCCTGATTCAAATGTGATTAACTTCCCTGTTTCATTAGTAGGGTTTGGTGGAAAATTTGAAGAAACATGTTTATAAAAATGTGAATGACTTGGTTCCACTTGATGAGGCATCAGCATTTGGTTCCACTTGAATTTTTCCATAATTGCTTTTGCTTAGTCTTACTTCTTGCATTAATCAAAATGGCTAAGGAAAAGTATTACTCTTTTTTCTTTCTGTTGTGGTTTAAAATCAAGTTTGCCTTTATAGTTAAACTATAGGAAAAAAAGGAAATAAATAAAAAGCACTAGAATCTAGTGTCATATTCCCCAAATTGCTAAGAGTATTGAGGTTGGATTTACTCTTTAAAACATTAGTTTCATCCATTTGTTTCAATAACCCATGCTTTTCTATGTCATAAGCATGAGACACCATACTACATAAATTGTTTGTAGAGAGTGCTAAGTTGAAGTTGCTGCAAAGCGATAAATATTAAGCTGAAAATATGATATATGGGTTTAATAATGTATTTTCACTAAGTTGAAGTTTTGATCTTGTAGATTGGTCGATTGGTTATCTCAAATTAGTTTGGTTAATTGAAAATTGGGTTTAAGAGATAGCCTAAGTTTTTATCTTTTACATTGTTCGATTGATTAGGCTAATTAAAAATAGGGTTTAAGATGGTTTTTTTTTAATCTCTTTTGAAATAATGTTGCTCTGTTTTTATCTTTTAGATTATTTTATTGATTCTCACAGATTGGTTTGTTTAATTTAAAACAGAGGTTAAGAGATAGCTTTTCAATTTTTTGGTGTTTGGTTAAGTTCGATTTTAATAAGGAAAAGGCTTAAATTCTAGTGAAACTAATATTTTTATTCTTTTTTAAAAAAAATAGTGTTTAATGTATACCTTTTTGGGTTTTCTTATGTTTGATCTGGGAGTTCGATTTTATTTTCTTTTCACAAATTGATTCTGTGGTATTATTTCATAATGATCTATTTTCTGTACTAGGATATACACACAGGTTTTTATATTATAAGTGAGATTATGGAGGTGGGGTGAGGATCTAGGAGATAGGGTTTGTTGCATAGTTCAGTTTGTCCAATCACGCTGAGCATAGTCCAATCACACTGAGCATATATGCGCAAGTTCGAATTTTTTATTGAATTTCAAGACTTATTTTCATTTTGTATTGATTTCCTTTTTTTGTTTCTCTTCCCGGTTAGCAATTTCGTCAAAACTCAACTTTCCCCAATTTATATATTATGTATGTATATGCACATCTGTGTACAATAATTTCTACTCATATTTCCTTAATCTTACATTGTATCAATAATAATTTGTATCTTTATGTTTTTCTTGTTTTTAAGAGTGAAGTGAATAATGCTGTTAATGTTTAGTTTTCTGGAAAAAGAAAAAAAAAACGAAATCAATTTTTTTTTTTAATTATAAAAATTGTCATTATGATAATGATGTTTAAATGTTATATTTCAACAGAGATGGCAATACAGAAGCAGGTTCTCCTCCTGCTCACATGGCACAAGTTGTAGCAAATGCCTTTGTGGAGCGCTATTACAAAGTGCTTCTTACTGAACCTAAATCTTTTTACAAATTTTATGAGGATTCAAGTATGCTAAGCTAGCCAGGTCCGGATGGAGAAATGACATCAGTGAAAACCATAGAAGTAAGTTTTTTGGGACAAAGTTTTTTGGGACAAAGGCCGTAATGGATTCTTAATGTACTACTTGGGTTTGTATATAACAGAATGGAAGAACAACACCTTCGGCTAGTAAAAACCCAACTTGATCAGTGACTTGTATGCACTCTTGTGTTTGGCCACTTCACATATTAATGTTAGCCATTTGCGGTTCTGTGCTTGCTTGCGTCTTTCTTGGAATTTAAGATTGTCCTATTTTGCATCTATCTCTACTCCCCGGTGGGTATACTCATTCTGGATTTGTTCTAATTATTAAACCTCTGTATATGGTGAAAATACATTTTGAACTCAATGATATATGGGAAGCACAGCGTCATGCCTCAGAGAGACAACAAGAATCCCAATCTCCTTGAAAATATGAAAAGGTTGGTTTGTTGGTTGTTTAATATTGTCTCCTTAAACAGTCTAGTTTTTGTTAAATGATGCCTGATGTTTTATTTACAGTTGAGAAATTCATTTATTCATGGAGGACGTGAAACTTGTGAATCATTTTGTGATCCCAATGATGACAATGATTATGATAATGGAGGCTTTGATTTTGGTCCATCTGATTTTGACATGCTAGAGAATGCATACGAGTATGAAGAAGTACCACTGCAGCCTGAAAAGGTTAGGCAGACCTCTAGTATATTCAGATATATTTATATCATAAAGCTGGCAATAACAAAATCGGCATTTATGTTACATTGCTTATTTGTTGATATTTATGCAGCATGATGACGGCGGTGTTTGTTTTGAAACCAATGAACATGAAGATCCAGGTTCTCAAGCCAGCCTAGAAGATCTTTGTTGATCTACCTAGTAAGATTAGATTTCTCTGACATGTGATGTGATGAAAATTGATTGTTTTATTGCATAATTTGTCTACTACCTTTTGTTCGATTATTGTGAGAGAAATTTCTTATCTTTTTTGATTCTTGTTTAATGTCAAAAACATTTATACATAATTTACATCATTTTGTATTAGTTGAGGGCATTAATATTACCAAATGAATCGAGTTTAGAATAATTGAATACATTGTTCCGCCTATTTTCTAAAACTTATGTTTTTGGGACAGTTGGTGATGGAAAAATTTGAGAGAGCTGAAATGCTTCCAAGTGGCTATTTCATTCGGCCATGCAAAGGTGGAGGGTCAATTATCCATAAAGTTGATATGTTAGTTTGGATCAGCTGCCGAGCAAGTTGATATGTTAAATCATTAAAGAAAGTGAAAGGCTTCAAGTTTTGTGTCATGTTGGACTTCAAAGAGGATAAAGCTTTTGAGAAGACATGCTTACTAAATTCAATTTGACTTGAATATGTCTTGTGCTGCACTACAGTTACATATTTTCATCTTTATTTTAAATGGAATTCAATTATTGTTTGATGATTTAGTGAAGTTACAAGAAAGGAAATTTGTTAATTATTGTTCCTAAGCTTTTTCTTTTTTAAATGTTATTGTTCCTTAATTGTGGTTGGGTTGAATGAATTTTGTTCTATATTGGATTGAATGTTTATAAACAAAACTTGATTGTTCTAAAAAAAAAAAAAAAAGATTTGGCGACTAAAAAATTGGTCGGCAAATTCTACACTTTTGCGACTAAAATCATTGGTCCGCAATTTCGTACCTTTTGGCGACTAAATTGTTAGTCGGTGATTCCTCAACTTTTGGCGACTAATCTGTTTGGTCGTGAAATGTGACAATTGGCAACTAAGATATTTGGTCGGGAAAATATCACTTTTCGAGACTAAAGTGTTTTAGCGGCAAAATGAATTAGTCGCAGTAATGATATATTTAGCGACCAAAAATTTAGTCGGCAAATCTAACTTTTCCTGACCAACAAAAATTTTGGTTGTGAATTACTTTTGCCGACCCTCAATTGGCGACTAAAGTAGTGACCAAAAAAATTGGTCGCGGATTACTTTTGCCGACTAAAAATGGGCTTTTAGCGACCAATTTTTTGGTCGGCAAAGGTGTTATTTCTTGTAGTGAGAGTGATGTTTGAGCCATGGTTTGTACACTACAAAGTTGATGTTGTCTTTGCCAGTCATGTTCATGCTTATGAATGATCTGTAAGTGCCCAAATCTTTGTACAAATCCAAGATTCAAACACAGTCCTAGTGTTCTACAAGATTGATTAAAGCCTGTGGGTGAGAGGTGTGGTTAGAGGTGGTTTGGGAAGATGGCGGGCACTCTAATGGCCTGAGATCACTGGAGGTGGAGATGAGGAGGTCAAAGCAGGCTTGGAGAGGGAGAGGCTGGTAGTGATAGACCTTGAACACTAATGTAGAATGTGAGAATGAATGTTTGAGTGTGAGACTTAGTGTGTTAGAATTATGAAGTTGTGTTGTTGTTTTGCTGCATATACGATACGCTATATAGGCCACAAGAGTATTGAAGCCCAAGCAAACTGTTGGACATGTGGCTTGTTCTTCTTAACTCTGCCAGAAGTGATATGAGCCCTTCTGTCGTCTATGGCTTGACAGCAAGCGAAGAGCAACGTTTCATGGCAGGCGGAAAGTAACGTTTCATATATGCATCGGATGACATGAATGTAAGGTCGTTGTTGCCTCTTCTCCAAGCCTGGTCAAGATGGAGTTATCTTAGCAAGAAGACAACCATCTCGACGATCCCATGACCTTAGCTACCAGTCCAATATCCTCTGATGATCCTGAGTAGTAGTGCCTGGGTCCTACTCCCAACCCAGGCATCTAAGCAGGTGAATGGGCTAGGGCCTGTAGACACCCCATTTTTGACCGACCTTAAGACTCAGACGTCATCGATGGAGCGCTCGGTGATGTTGCACATGTGCTCATTCAGAAATCTCAGAGTCGCGGCCGTGAGCCCTGCCTCCGGACTTCCGAACCCTTTTCTGTGCCTTGTCTCGGTTTGCGAACCAGACTCGATTTTCTCTGTTTCTTTTCCTGAGGGGAGGGAGAGGTCCCGTAGACCATCTCTCAATGTCCGTAGGCTACATTTGGTGGCCGTAGGCCATTTTGCCCATTTCGGAGTCCGGTTCCCGGTTTTCGGAGCCGTCAGGCCGTGTGCCTCGGTTCGGGACCGCCTAACCATCTCCGTTTGCTCTGATTTTTGGCATACATCTTAGATACAACTAACTAATTAAAGCAAGTAAATCGGCCTCGTGGGTGAGGGAGAGATGCATGCTCGGTTTGCTTCGCCCGGAAAATGCATTGCCTTGCCATGAGTTGTCTCTATTTACACTCGCGGAGATCTCAGAACATCATATGAACTTCCAGGTTGCATCTGCCCCAATACAGGAAGATTTTGGACAATTTTGCTGCAGGTGGCTGACTGGCCACCTCAACTAGTTGGTAGGCTACCTCAACTGGCCAACCGGCCAGTACAAGTGGTCGGTAGGCTAATGCAAGTGGCCGGCCGGCCACTTCTCTTTCCAGAATTCCACTTTTGCTGCAACAGAGAACAATAAAGGCACATCAATGTATTTGCAAGGAAATGTATGTGCAACCACTCTCCTTATCATTTTTCAAGCTCAAAGGAGCGTAGTACTCGGCTCTCAAGCCACCAACCATGCATCTCAAGGCATGATGGCCAAAGAGTCAAGCTTGCACAATGTTAGTGAATGCACAAACAACACAAAGAGCCTCTTGACCCTTTTGAACCCCTCTTTCCGAGCTAATGTTGAACCCCTTGGATCCACTTTCTTGGAATTTTAACCACATGGTTGTGTTGTACACACATAGGAGTACCCCACCAGTTGGTGGCCGGCCAGAAAATGTGATTGACCTTTTTGACCCCTAGCCGGCCGGCTAGGGGGGGGTGGCCGGCCGGCCACCTGCAGCAAAAGTACCTGGCCGGCCTACTTCCTCACTGTGTGCACTTTACAGCTGTGTAGCCCTTTCCCCCAGATAATATCTGTATCCGGGGGATATTTTGTGGAGAAAGCTTGCCTCCTTTATGCCCCACCTTTACACCCTCCTTTTGGTCCATATAACCAGCTGCCAACATGCATTATAGCACCCCTTCTTTGGCCTATATAGCAAGCAAGCCTTGTAGTAAATTGGGGTTAGAGAAATTGCTCTTCAAGTCTCCATAGCCAACTCCATCTTCATCCTTTTCAATTCTTCAAAAAACCCTAAGTCCCTAACCACCATTCCTTCTACACCACCAAGCTCTACCACCACCATCTCATTTCCAGCAACAAGGAAGGTCTCTCAAAGGCTAAAGAAGCTGCAAATTCATCCAAGAAGCAACAAAAGTTTGAGTCTTCAAGGGTAAGTAATACTTTTACCCTTTTGACCCTTTTTCTTGATCTATTTGTAAGCCCCACTTTCTTTTTGTTTCGAGCTCCGGCCCTAACTGAAAAGGGCCCTCTTTTGAGCTCATCCTCACTTTTCATTAAGGGCTCAACCTTGTTTGAACCCTCCATGATACACTTGCTTCATTGATCCTCTTGTATGTCATGATTTTGCATGCTATTTTTGACCCATGAGTAATCTGTTTTTGAGCATGTTATAAACTGATATTAGGCTTATTTTAAGCCCCTCTTCAACATTGAAGAAGGGATCAACACCATTTGGGGCTTCCATATTATACCTACCTTTATACTCCTCTTTTATTCCCCATTCTTGCATGCAATGGCAGCCTACCATGCTTTTGTTTTTAGCCATTTTACAGTTCTAAAAAAGTGCTTATTTTTGTTCATTCTTCATGTTTCATTTAGGTCCTTTCATGGTTTGGGACCTCCATATGCCACTTCATGTTATATCTCTCTTTTATTCCCCATTCTTGCATGTTTAGTTAGCCTACCATGCTTTTGTTTTTGGCCATTTTACAGTTCTGAAAAAGTGCTTATTTTGGTACATGCTTCATGTTTCATTTAGGTCCTTTCATGGTTTGGGACCTCCACAGGTCACTTCATGTTATATCTCTCTTTTATTCCCCATTCTTGCATGTTTTGTTAGCCGACCATGCTTTTGTTTTTGGCCATTTTACAGTTCTGGAAATAGTCCTATTTTGAGCCCTGCCTCCGGACTTCCGAACCCTCTTCTGTGCCTTGTCTCGGTTTGCGAACCAGACTCGATTTTCTCTGTTTCTTTTCCTGAGGGGAGGGAGAGGACTAGTAGACCATCTCTCAATGTCCGTAGGCTACATTTGGTGGCCGTAGGCCATTTTTCCCATTTCGGAGTCCGGTTTCCGGTTTTTCGGGACCGTTGGCCGTGTGCCTCG